CAACATACAAACTCATCAGTACCCATTCCTCTTTCTGCCTTATTCCATTCATCTATCTGATTCTATTCAACTTTTCCTTGACCTTTCATCTCCAAACTGTACTATCTCCTTGAGGATAATACTACATCAATTATTCCCTTTCTCTTCCTTTATTTCTGAATCATTGTGGTAACCCCCTGTAATACCCTCATCACAGCATTTAACACAGTTATAATTGTTTATTTACTTCATTTGATCACCAACTACTTATATAATACCTCCTATGTATCAACCCTTAATCTAGGCATTGAGGATGTAAAGAAAAACTTTGCCTTCATGGAGAACATATTTTCAGATGGGCTATAAATAAGACAAACAGGTAAACAAACAATATGTCAGCAAGTAACAAAGCTACGAAAATTAAAATAATGTAACAACTCACAATTCTGATGATAAACTGAAACCCAAAATGTGAGAAAAGGTCAAAAGTCAGAGGTGATCCTTATACTTTTGGTTTAAGGAACTGGGTAAATGATGAAGTTCCTTACAGAATTGGTAAACACTGGAGGAGGAAAGATTTGAGAGAAAAATGAGGAGTTCTTTCTTTGCCATGTTAAGCTTGAGATGCCTTTTAGATATTAAGGAATAGAGGTCAGGGAGGTAGTTAAATAAAGGAAAACTCTGCAGCTCCAGAGAGAAGTTGGTCTAGAGTTCCAAATCATAAAGGTATCATCATAAAGATGATATTTAAACCTATGCACTGAGCTGAATGAAGAAATTATTTCAGGTGACTGAGAGGCAAATGCTGCTGAGCAATTGAGTGAGATGAGGACTGCACAATAACCGAATATTTGGAACACGGAGATCAATAACCATGACAAGAGTGTTTTTAGTAAGATGGTAGAGACAAAAACTATTTGGATAGGGACAGAAATAATGGGAGGTAAAAAAGTGGAGTCCAGGAGCTTTTCTATAAAGAGGAAGAAAGAAACAGGTTGGAGCTAGAAAAGAACATGGGTTCTATCTAAAGAGGGTGTTTTAAGAAATTGAAATAACCCATTAGAGATGGAAAGATTGATGATTCAAGAGAACATGGACAATTGACGAGCCTTAAGCCTTTAAGTCCTTTAGGTAGACAAGAAGGAATGAGCTCTAGCATTCAAGTGGAGACTAGTCTTAAGGAGAAATAGGCATTTCACCCACTGTAATGGAAAGACAGCATATATGAGTACAGATACAAACGCTTTGGTAGATGTGATGGTGGAATAAAGAAACCTGGATCTAAGCAGGTTAAGATTTTGTCAGGCAAGTACCACAGAGGGGAAGAAGTATAAGGGAGCAGAGGTATATACAAATGAGCAGTTATATTAATGAAATATAAACTCCAAGCTACATAAGAAGGGAAGGGGCATGAATGAGGTACAGTGAAAAGTTAAAGGGCTAATGGACAGAAGTATCCAATGGAGTTAAAAAAAAAATTATTTGAGGAATAAGGAAACAAGGTAGTAGATGATGGTCAATTTTTTAAAAAAATTCATAACTGGAGCAGTTATAAGCAATGAGAGAGTTTAAGATTTGACTATGGGAGTAGATTTCCAAGGTCAGGGTGCAGGATCTAAAAGCTGAGAGATCAGATCTTGGATTATCCATGTGGATGTAGCAATTACTAAGTACTGTGGCAGGAATTGTGGAAAAGCAGTGAGCCAGATACTAATGAGGAACGATAACTAGAAGGTACGGACAGATCTGGAAGGGATAACAGTCTGATGCACATATTTCAAGAGTTAGGGTTTTGAGGAAGGAAGAATTGGACTGAAAGGGTTCTAAACGGGAGGCTGCAGATGTGGGTTGAACAAATATCATTATTTAAGGACTATAGGAAAACAGAGCTCCCAGGAATAATCAGGTAGGGCAAGAAAGTGAAAGAAATTTTATTTTCAACACTGTCTCTATTTGATGATGATAAACTACCAATTCCAGGAGGCAACTAGAAGGATTAGGGGAAGGGGCATTGAAAGGTTGGAAGATTGCATCAAGTTGGATATACACAGTCAAATGAGGATATAATTTTCCAGTAGTAATGGCCAGCCTGGGAATCTTGGACACTAAAAAACCAACCGAAGCAAACAGACAAACGCCTTTTATAAGCTTCATGAGAGCAGTTCAGTATCTTTCCAATAAATTCCCTTTCTGCTTAAGTTAGCAACTAAGGAATCCTAATAATAATTATCTTCATGTAGAGGGGGCCTTGCACACATCAAACAAGTTCAGAAAAGGAATGTTTCTTTCACAGATCAAATTCATTTAATACCTTTAAGTGCTACTAGGCCTGAAGTGATAAAGAAAATCTCAGAAAGGAATCTTAGGCATGTTAGCTATTCCTTTATCCCCTTCTCATGTCATTTCTTCCTTTCACAAAAGTAAATGGTGAGCAAAAGAGCAACGACAATTGAAGATGGCGTGAGCTGGCAGCAGGGGTGTTCTGAGGACAAGCAGGATTCTCTGTACAATTGCCTGTGACCTCATAATAACACTTGTGCAGGTGTGGAAAGAGTCCTACGGCTTAAAATAACAAATGCGGCAGCAGCTCCGAGGTTCTCTGTCCAACTGTGCCACTCTCTACTAGTGTTCCTCTAAATGGAAAATGGCCCATTTGGGGGAAAGTTAATATAAATTATGACTTTCTCTCTCTCAGGTGAACTAATTTATCTGGATGAAAAATTCTGAGAATACTCTATTTCTAACACTGTAGTATTTAACTTTATGTAGAAACAAGTATTGATAAGATAATAAAATTTCATAACCCAACAGTGAATATAGTCCTATTCCTTAACACATAGATCAAATCAAGGCATTAATTTTAGGTGTTATTCATTGTACATAAAATGAAATGTCTAAAATATATAATTGAGGTAGAAAAAAACAATTATAGTAGGAGTCAACATTAAGAAACAAGCAGAATCAATTTACTGGCATCTAATTTACTGGTACCTTGAAAAGGTAGGTATATGGAATATACCAAGCATGGATGAAATACTGTGTGAAAGGGAGGAGAGAACCTAAGAGGTAAATACTAGAGAATACAATACTTCAAAATATTCACAATAGTGAATATTCACTATTTGGTATAATACTCTTATGTATATCATAAGGCGAAGCACAACAGAGGGTAAGTCGCTCCGCCAACTGAAAATGTATGTGTGAATTTAGTAACAAGTAAATGGTGGTGGTGGAGGGGTGGTTATATTTAACATAAATCCACTTAATAGACAGCATTGGTGAAATATATCAAAGAACATTTCCCAATTTGAAAAAAATCAAGGCAGTCCCAGGTGATCTCTAGAGTGCCAGAGATGGTTACCTTGAAACAACAGTGGATTTTACATCTGCCCAATGGCAGATTTGTTCACTGGCAACTCACCTGTTTAACTCTTAATTGCAGAAATCCAATGATTGAAAAATAACATTTGTTCCTATGACTGACACTTTATCACTCACACAAGAGATTACCTGAATCAATCTGAGACCATTCCCTAAAGCACAACATCTCTGGGCTGGGGGAGATGTGACATTACTGTTAGATAACATCAAGAAAATGCACAATGAAAAGTACTCGAAGTTTATGAAGAACTGCTAGCACAAGAAGTACAACTTCAAGAAGTCTGTACTTATAAGTACAAGAAGTACAGTTAGCTATAGTGTAGTTAGATATTAAAACTGCTTTTTATCACCAGATGAAAAATAATCAAAATTAAACGCTTATGCCAAAATTTAACAGTAAGAACACAGGACCAGACAGATACCTATTGCAAATTGAAGTTTTTTATTTTGGTTTACCTACTGATAATAGGCACTAACTTGGGAAAGTCTTCTCAAATGTTGCTTCAATTTTCCTTCTGAATCTGAACCTAAGCAAGGGAAAGAACAGGTCTCCTGACCACCTAACTGAAATTTTCCTTTTTATTCTTCTTTACTGAACTCTTTTCCCTCCTCAGAATTTATCATAATTCGTAATTATATATCTTTGTGCTTGCTTATTGTCCAATGACTCAGGAAACTATAAGCTCCTTGAAGGCAGAGTCAACTCTTTAATACTTTATGCACTTGAGCATAGGGCCTTGTACATAGAACATGCTCATTAAACACAGGTAGTGAAGAAAAAGAAAAGGAAAAGGAGACCACAGGTTGCCTTTTGACATTAAACTATTTGCTTTTGACATTAATTTCTCAATGTTCAGAATTTAATCACTTATTGGACACATGATCTAGACCCCTTTTTACATCATTCAGTTTAGCCTCACAACAATCCTGTCAGGTTTCTCGCTTGAGATTAAAGTAAGGCTCACAGAAATTAAATATTAAATAACTCATTTAAGCCACACACCTTGTAAATATGAACACCAGTTTATGTGAATATTGGGTTCATTTGATATCTAGACAGTCTGAATTTTCTTCCGGCTTACAAAAATCCTAAAGAAGTAAATCACTTACAAAACGCAAAACGAGCAGTTACATTAATAAAACAATGTGATCCTCAAAACAATTTTACAAGAGGCATAATCCCATTATGTTGGTGAAGAAACTGGGTCTAAAGAGCGCTTAATCTTTCACATTCTCCCTACAAACCTATGGGCTTGGGGTTTCCCAAAATGAAATAGTGGCTGCATGAATTTGGTACAAAATTCGAGTACCTCTTACCATAATTCTCGTTTTCCCACTGCAAATGTGATCCAGAAGGGAGCGTTCAACGACTCGATTTCCCTATTTGCATTTTAGGTTCAATGAGGGTCTCATTCGCTTTTGTGCAATTAGTTAAGTACTGACCGCCAAAGATATTTACGAGGAGACAACACATCCAGGTCAAAGAAAGGGCGTGGGAATATCATTTTAGAAAGGGTTGCCAAAACTAGCTCTGGGCTGCGGTCCACACTCACCCTCGCCAACTCGTCTCATTTCCTCTTTCCCCTCCATTGAACCATTCCTTCCTGGAGTCAGGTTTAGGACAACAGGCAGGTTCCTACCTTGGTCTTAACACTCTTATCAAACTTGTCATTTTTGAAGCTAAACGTATTCTGGTGCCGCTGAGGCCTGGAACGAGCCACGTTCCCTTTCTGGGAGCTCATCGACGAAACCACAATCACCACACGCTGGGACAAGGAAGATGCAGGGAAGACTTAAGACGCCAGGAACTACCTCGCAGAGCTTACGTCCCTATCACTGACCCGGAAGGAACTTACCCAGACTTTCCGACCCCTCCTCCGTAACCCCACGTGACTCCGCGCGGAGCTCGAAAAACACCCATCTGGCCCTCAGCGACCAAAAGGCTCTTCCACGCCACCCAGCCTCAACTCCTACCCCTCCACGCAGCTTCTTTCCTGAAACCCGCGTATAAATCCCGCTTTCTTCGAAGCGAGAATTCCCCCATTGGTCCGAACGTAGCAGTCCATCAAAGCAGAGAGGCGGGAAATTTTTACTTCTATTGGCTCTTCTTTTCCGCAATCCCCGCCTCCTGCCGACTCAGCTCAGCCTCTCCTGGGGCCCGACTCCGCTAGGCGGCTTCTGATTGGTGGAAGTCAGGCTGAGCTGGGCTGCGTCCCTCCCCCAGCCTGCTCTCAGGCTGGAGCCCGGGTCAGCTTTGGCACCTTCCTCCAGTCAGTGACCAACTCCTGGCTTAGCGAGTCTACTACTGGACTCCTTCGATTTCCTTCCAGCTTCCCTCCTGCCACCAGAGCGAGTCCCGCGGCTGGCAGGTTGAGAAGGAGCAGAGAAAGGATCAAAGAGAAGAAAGACCTCGCTGGGTCTGGGTGGTGTCTGCAGTGCCAGAAAGGGAGGTGGTGGTGGTGGCGGCGGCGGCGGCGGCGGCGGCGGCAGCAGCAGCAGCGGCTGCGACTCCTCACCCGAACATCAGGGCCCTCCAGACCCAGGCGCCCCCACAGTCTCCTTTTCACCT